TTAAAACAGCGATTTATCCGCAGAAATCGAGCGGGGAGTCGGAGCTCCTGGAGCTTCCATCAGCCGCCGACCTGGGGCGCGGAACAGCGGCCGTGCCCGAGGGTGCGACCCCGCCCGGGGCTCTCCCGGCCCGGGGCTCTCCCGGCCCGGGGCCGCCGTTCCCTCCCCGGCCCGGGCGGCCCCGGCCCTACCCTGCTGGTCGAAGTCGCTGAGGAAGAGCGCGATGCGCTGGTCCCTCTTCTTCTGGGAGAGCGCGGTGCGCTGCTCCCTGTCCCGGGGCAGCGCCCCGCGGTCCGGCTCCACGCCCGAGTCGCTGCCGCGCCGCCGGCACGGGGCCTTCCCCGGGGCCATGGCCGCCAGCCGGGCCCAGCCGTGCCCGCAGCCGCCCGAGCGGGGCCGGACGGACACGCCCCCGGGCCGGGCAGGGGCGGCCGGGAGCCGCCGGAGAGCCGGGGAGGGGGACGAGGGACGCGGGACGAGGGACGAGGGACGAAGGACGAGGGACGAGGGACGAGGGACGAGGGACGAGAGGGACGAGCCGAGCCCGCGGTTCCGGGCTCTGCCTGAAGGGAGGGAACGCCTGAGGGGAGCGGGGTGGGACTGCCCCGTCTCGGAGGTGCCTCAGGCGTTGGCACCTGTAAGTGACAGGACGAGGAGGAACAGGTACAAATTGAAAGGGGGGAAACTGAGGTTAGATAATCGAGAGGAATTATTTACTCTGAGGGTGGTAAAACACTGGAATCCAGGGAGGCTGTGGATGCCACAGCCCTGGCAGTGCTCAAGGCCGGGCTGGATAAAGCCTTGAGCAACCGTGTGGGAGCTGTCCATGCCCAGGCAGGGGATGGATGAAAAGGAAAGATGTGCTCGGTGAGAGTGCGTGGCCCTGTGCTCGGGATGCGGGCAGAGGTGTGCCCGGGGCTACGGCAGAAAACCTGGGAACCTGATGGCTTTCGTGAAAAGGTTTGCTTTGTCTGCCCTGTATTTTAAGCAGATCAGCTGTGCTGTTACCCAGCAGATGCTTGCTGAGCACTCCTGTTCAAGTAGACTGATCTGTGTAACTCAGGGTGTAGAATTAGTTGGTGACTAGTCTGGAGAGTACTGTTACGTGTGCACTTAGGTAATCTTATTTAAAGTCTGAAGAGACAAGAAATAATTACAAGCTGACTTTTAAGGTCCATTCTAACCCCTCAACATTCTATGATTCTACGACGTAATGATCCTTATGCCCAGGCAGGATCTGGGCAGGCTCCCTCACACACACACACACACACACACACACACACACACACACGAATTGCTGGTTTGTTCCCCGTTTGGAGCAGCCCTGGGCACACAGGAGCTGCCTGGAGCAGGTGAGCGTTTCCATCCCTGGGGGCTGTCACCGGGGCCGGGGTGCCCAGGGCTGGGCCAGGCAGTGCTTGTGCTGCTGGAAGCCTCTGTGCTCCCTAGGAGTCTCCCTGTCTCAGAGCTCAGCTTTGGGTTGGAGTCTCCCTGTCTCAGAGCTCAGCTTTGGGTTGAGCTGAATTACTGCTGTTCAGTGTGCAGAGCATGCAGGCTTTCAGAGGTAACCAAGGGAATAACCTGCTCTGGCCAGTGCAAATGGTTCCAGCTTGTCAAATTCTGATAAAGTGAAGAGAGGATTTAATAAACACATTGTAACAGGGAATTAGAAAGGCATGGCTACATCAAGAATTGAATATATAAAATTGTTCAAATCCATATCATTAAAAATAGAATTAATTGAAGAAACTTATCTTGCATGTATCTAAATTAAAAAAAAAAAATCCCAGAGGTATGAGTATCTTGGGTTTCATACAAATTTGAGCAAGGAACTGTGTGCAAAAAGCTATTTAGATAATGCTTTAAAACACTAAAACACATTGTTTATATGGATACTGCAAGCTCTCTGAAATGAGTAGTTTTTCTGTATGATATGCATCTGGCATATCTCCTGAGCCAGATGGGACAGACTAAGTCACTCAAAAAGAGCTGTAAAAAATCTGATGGACAATTCATAATATAAGCATTTTATATCAGACCATGTTCTTGTTTATAAAACAAACAACATACTCCACTTCCCACATCACCCAAAAAAACTCTTCCAGACAAAAAGGTAAGTGTTTCTGTTCCAGAAAACACTCAAAATCCTGATATAAATAAAATAATATCCTGCTTTTGGTAGTTCTGGCATATGGATATATGTTTACAGAAGCAGGACTAGTTTCCCTTTCCCTAAATTTTGTTTTCTTTGAAATTATCAAACAAACACCACTAAAGTAATTCTGAGGTGTCACTGCAAAAAGTCCAGATAGTGTTGCTCTCTAAATTTAATCTCCTACAGGCCATGTAAGAAGTTTTTTAACAAGAGAACTGACAACACCTCACCAAAGCTTTCAGGACACAGTTATCAGCCTCAGCTGCCTGGCTGATCCTCTCTCTGAAGAAAGAAGTCTGGCTTGCTTGACACCTGCTTACAACTCCTTACATTATAGAATTAATTATGAGCATAAACTTGCCTAAGACCATCTTTATTTACATTTCTGCACTTGTAGGGGAATAGTTTTGTGGTAATAAGTTGGACAAATGTTGAGTCCATAAACGAGTGATGCAGAAATTAATGATCTGGAACATGGGTATTAAATATTAGTAAATATTGGTTTGAACATGGGATTAAATGTGTCATAGTGCAATCCAGCCAGTGTTGCTCCAGTGACACAGAAAAAAGAGAAGTATTATTACCATTTTTTTAACATGTGCTTTATTATTTGGAAGTCTCATACATCCGAAGTACTGTTATAAGGAGCACCTGGAGGAAGATCAAACCTAGAAGCATGCATTTGAAAGGAAGAATTGTCTGTTATTAATGAAATATTTCAAAGACATGGAAACAAGCCTTTTTGTCTTAGGTTTACAGGATTGTTCCACAAAAATGCACATTAACCTTATCACAATACATACAAATATTGTGGATGGACAATAGAAATCACCACCCTTCCATATGAGATGCATCAAGAATAAATTGTTATCCCTTATAATGTCAGAAACAGAAAAGGCACCATAATAGAATGTTTAGAAAAAACTCAGTTTATGCCATTATATTTTGATTCAAAAGTCTAAGAATTACTGTCCCGACTTAAAACAAAAAGCCTTTCACACCTGTAAATTATCATTATAAACTTGTAAACCTTTTTTCCAGAAGTATCAGGTGCAAATGCAAGGCAAATATAAAATCTATTGACTTATTAGATTACAAATACTACCCCATGAAAAAGCTGTAGTTACAAAAATATAAAAAAATATTCTAACTCCCATTGTTAGATCTTAGTTTCAATCTACACTGCACTAAGAGTCCAAAGCCAGATCTGATTTGGACACACTCCTAGAGTAGGAAAGTGCTGTTTGTCTTATCTTCACATCATCATTCTGACCTCCTCCCATGATTTTGCTTCCTGGGTTTCTTTTATTTATTAGTGCATATTAAGAATGCCAAGTGATGAGTGCTGGCAGGTTGTGTTTTTCAATGGATGGTAGCAGCTTAAGTGCTCTCACTGTGATCTCCCAGAAGCTCTGAGGAGAAAAACATTATTTTTTCTCCAATCCTCCACTGTAGCTTTGCGTAGCAGCCATGCCATTTTCATCCATAACTTGTGACCCCTGGCAGGTGATTGAGAGGAATAAATTCTTCTCACAGGCCTCAGTAAGGAGCTGTGAGAAGCTCACCCACTGCTGGTGCTGGGTCATAGACAGGGGCTGCTGGGGCAAGGACAGTTACTGGCAGCATCCCCTCTTTCTCACATGAGAAATTGGCACAGGTTTATCTGGATGCTGTTTCTCTAGCCCTTGGCTTTAGTAAGCTGGATCAGCACAGGGTGTCAGACCAGCTACAACAGCAGCCTCACAAAGTGCCAGAAGACATTAAAATGAGTTTACTTCTAAATAATAAATGACTAGATTTAATGTGATATTCTTGATGAATAAACTGTAACAGCTGAGCCTAAGCCTGACAAATGCTAATGCTTTCACATCTGAATACTGAAAGCTCTGTTCCTTTAGCCCTTTATCAGAGCTAGCAGAAGGTGTCCAGCTTCCAGCTCTAGAGAAACAGAAGGTGTCCTTTGTTTTGCAGGGAAACTGGCAGAGATTAGTGGAGTCACTCAGCTGGACTTCTAGATAGCCACCTTGTTCAGCTGGGCTTTGAGAAACACTCAGGGTTGTTCAGACAGCAGCAGGACTGTGGAAGATTTAAGTGTCAGCTGTACTATCATTATCCTTTATGCTTGGTACAAGACTTTTTCCTTTAAATACCTTCCTCTTCATTAGAAATCAGCCCCACATTTCTCCTGGTAACAACATGTCAGTCTTTGCAAGTTCCAGCTGGATTTTGGCCAGCTCGAGGGGCTGTGTGATGTTTCCAAACAAATGCTCCCCACAGCCAGAGCGGTTCTGAAAGGGCTGTGTTTTACCCTATTTGAAAGGATTGACTGTACTCACATCTGCTTTGAGACACTAACTTTGTTCCATGTGTATAAAAGATGTGAGTTAACAGGAGACTCCTGGAGTTGTTATAGCAGGAAGTGTTCAGTGCTCTTATGCTGGGATCCTGGGATCATGTGAATAGCACAGGAAGAAGAAGATTGTGTTCCTTATTATGTTTCAGTTTCATAAAAATATGGTTCAGGCAGACACCACGTTCACTCCTCTGATCAAAACTGTATATTCCATTTCAGGAAATGGATTTCAGGCAGGATTTCTTTTCAGCAGAATTTCAAGGGTATCTGCACACATCTTCTAAAGATTTTTTTAAATAAGCACGCTGTCCCTCTATGATTGATCAGGTTTGGAGAACAATTCACACTTAACAATGAAAACATCAAAAATTAAATCAAGCAATGCCTATAATGTAGGAGGTTTGATTTTTGTTTAGTAGAATTTTAAGATGTGAAACAAATTCCTATCTAAACAATTGAACTTGGCATTTTTGTTTTGTAAAAAAACCCACATGACAGTAGTAATTTTAATGAGCAATTCCCTTCCCCAACTTATTGAGTCAAAAGTTCACAAATGTAACTTTCAATCAAGGCACAAAAACATTTACTGACTCTTTCTTCTCACCGATTTCTTACATTCTTCCCCTTCCCCTTAAAAAAAAACTTGGTGTAACAATGTCTTCTACACTAGACATAACTTTAATAGTCCAATAAGTTGTAGCAGTATCTGAGTCTGGTTCTATCTATTTTGAATTTAGTTAAATTAGATAAACAGCACATTCTCAGCACATCATTGTTCATTGTCTGCATTTGCCTTGAAGGAGAGGGGATGAGGGGGAAAAGCCACAGTAGTTTCATGCATATTTTTCAAGAAACTTTATGTGGAAATCTTTCACTTTCTCCAGTAGGATCTTCAGCTTCTCTACTGGAGGAAGAATGGTCATTCTGAAAAATAATATTTAAAGAAATAAAAATAAAAAAACCGATCCATATTATCTTCAGAACCAACTAAACTGTGATCTTTGCACAGATCTTGATTAATCTCAAGGTACAGCAACCAACATGTTAAGTTTAACATCTATTTTGATGTGATTCTCTCTTTCTTTGCATTTATACTTTAATTGAACTATACTATTAAACTAGAGCAATTTGTGTCTACTGGTTAGAATACAGGAATTCAAGAACTGTTATTTTCTGTTGAGTGGTGTAGAAGACTAGCAGTAAGAAATAACACCAACTCAGTTTCCACCGTTGGGCATTTATGCCTAATTATGCCCAGTTTTTTGAGCTTTAGGAGTTGTCACTTATGAGTAAATGTACATTTTTTCTTTAATTGAAAACTGAGTTCAGAAGCATTAAAACAATCCAATGTCCCATTCTGCAGGTTTTAGTCCCCCTTTTCCCTTCTGCATACCCTGAAAATCCCACGGGGTGTGGATGCCAGGCTGTTTGCAGGACCCACAGAACACAATGGCTTTCCCACACTGGTGCAGGAATGGACTCCAGGTTTTTCCTGGAGCTGTATGTACCCAGGGATCTGACCCAGCTGGCTGCGCTGCACAACTGCCAAGGCTAAAGATACCCTCTGTTTCACACACAGAAACAGCACAGCAGAGGGTGATGAAGACTACATTCCATGATAAATTCTAGCTATCAGTGGCTTGGCTGGAGCAAAGTTCTGTTTATTCGAAGCAAAAGCAACAGTTTTGGTATTAGAATATTTAGTTCAGCATCTTGTTTTGGTAAAGTTATACAGAGTGTTTAAGGATCAGATTTATAGGGAAGATACTTTATTTTTAATGTAGTTTCTCCATATGGAAACACAGTTTAACCCCCTCTTCCCCCCAAAAGAATACAGGGCAATTTGTGTAATTCCAGAACCAACTTTAAAATTAAAGTCTAAAGTATTATTATTGTTTGTATTCCTGGAGAAGGCATTTCAAATGCCAGTATGTAAAAATAGAATAAAATTATGCCAGCAAGCTGTGAAAACACCATGAAAACTTATATAGCTCATCTAGCAGACCAGGTCTTTGACCTTGCTGTCATTTCACAGAAACTGTCCAGTGGAAACTGAGACAACATAAACTTAAATAAAAATCCTTGTATTTAATCAGAAGAGAAAGAACTGGGATGATACTTTGCTAACTACTGCTAATTTGCTTTTAAACAAATAGAAACTGTACCTGAAATGGTAGGTCCCTTCTCTCTGGCCAAATCCACTTCCAGGTACAACACATATTCCAGTCTCTTCCAGAAGTTTCATGCAATAGAACATATCAGGTGCCATTTTATGAGCCTAAGGGAATGGATGCCTTGGAATTATTGAAGTCAAAATATTCCTAATATATAGAATTTAATGACTGTTTTTTCCCCCTGAAACCTAATGTTATATTTTTAATTTCTTATTCAATTTACTAAGAAAGATGAGAAACAAATGTTAATGGGGCAGTTCACACTGAAGTAACAGTACTTCATGGAAGAACAGGGCTGAAGAACTTACACAAAAACTCACTTCAAAAGAAAGGGTTTAGGTAATTTTGTTATCCCCCTTGACTTGCTTGTTACTTTTCTCAGAAGTCTGAAAGTTGTACTTGGAAAAATCTAAGGCACTGACATTTGATACGATTAAATTAATTTGAGAACTGTGTGTTCCAGTTCTGTTGGCAGTTACTATTTTTTTCCCCCAGAATAATCTGCTGCCTAGGAAGTCCCCTGATTAATAACTATGAGAGGTTCTTAAATATGTACAGGTTATATACCTAATCAAATAAGCAGCTGGAAAACAGCCCTATTTTTGTTCTCAGCTGTGCTAATAAAATTCTCTTTACAAAATGAATATTACTAATTAGGTTTCAGAGCTCTACTTACGAACAGAAAGACTTATAATTTATTAACATAGGTTACTGTCCCAAAGGCAAAAAGGTGAAATCTGTAAGGAAACCTCCAGCCCTCTTTCCCATTCCTGGTGAATGGGGCTTAATGGGGCTTCTCTTGTAGGGTCAGTAGCACACTGCCACTCACACATGCTGGTCTCCTTAACCCAGACATGGGCAGCAATTTGGAACTGCACAGGGCCAGCTCCTTGTGTGACTTAAATACCTGAGTGTCCCAGGTTGGGGACATTCAGCCTGGGAGCCTTAGCACTGGGACGAAATGATCTGCTCTGTTTTCCTCTCTTCAAATAAAGGTCATGTTGTATTTGAGATCATACACAGCCCATGAAATAGTGCTTTTGTACTCCATCTCTGGAATCAAAGCTCATCTTTAGAAGTGGCAGGCGCAGGTGAGAGGAGGTTAAAACGAATTGGGGTAGGAATGACTGACTGACCTTTGCTTCCTCAATGGCTTTGGAAGGAATAAAGATCCGAGGGAAAGCGTACATAGCTCCTTGAAGGGGGTTGCAGTGAACTCCTGGGATCTTGTTAAACATGTCTTCTGTTAGTTTGGCTTTTTTGGCAAGATTGTTCAAAACAGATTCCTTCTCCTGTTTAAAAGGAAGGTATTCAGTTGGACACATTTCAAGTGGCAATAAAAACACCAGGAGAAATGATAATGTTCGAAAAGGCCTTCTCTAAATGAAACACCAGTAGGGCTGTGCTGAGCTGTTAGAGCAGACCATGTTCCAAATTCCAGTTGGGCTCTTAAAAACAGCAATGCAAAAAGGCTTTAGGAGGGTACACTTAAAGTGTTGCAGACAGACAATAACCTGCAGAACTCTCTATCTGTGTGCCATGTTCTTACAGTCTCCTTCCTTAGCATCCACTCCTGGCATTTTTAAGAGACAATCTTATTTGAACCTTTGATTTGACTTGATAATGTAATATCTTAAGCCAGACTCAGCTTAATTTTTACAAGTGAGGAATTATATATATACTTCAATACTGATTTTCATGTTGTTCAGTATATAGAGACACTGGATATTTAAGAAAAAGATTGATTTTATAACTTTATTTAAATTTATATTCCTGTATATATTTCAAATCTTATTTAGTAAACCTTTTGTCATATTAAACACAGGAAAGATGTTGAATTTATCAGCAAGAAAGCTGATTTGATAATGCCTACCTAGTATTTTTAAATGTCATACTGAGTTAATTTTCAATATACTGCATAGTTCTGTAAATTGGTGTTTATACCAGATTGTCCAAGGAGAAACTAAAGAAGACTCTTTGGTCTCTGTACAAAATTTGAGTTCCCAATACTTAGGATAGGTTTGGGAAATGCACAAAAGAATAAGCACGTTATTGCTGACCTTTATAAACTGTGCATAAGATTCTTCTCCAGGTACTGGAGGATTCACCACAATATCCATGGCTGCTTGTCCTGAGACTGGAGGACAAAGGCGAACAGAGAGCAGCTTAACGAGCTGTCCTTTGATTTCTGGGTGCAAGTTTATGACCTCCATGTAACCTCCTCTGTAGCCACATCTGTGATAAAGTGAACAGAAGAGATTGGTTAACTTCAAGTCTATAAATACAACAAAACAATGAAAATGACTGCAGAAGTGGAAATACAATTTATGAGAATCTCACAATAGGAAAGATACAGCTTGTTGAAACAGCTGCCACACTGATAATGGTTTAAGATGGAGCTGCATGACATGTCATTAAGTCCTAGTATCCCATACAGAGATAAAGGGGGACATGCAGCTTCCCTGATAGGCAAGTTAACAATTAACACGGATCTTTAATCTTCAGAACAAGAGCATATGGCTGTAGCAGCATACAATTAATCAAAAATTCTTTTTCTTCCATTTCCTCCTCCCCAAAACAACTAAACCCAAACATTTGTAACATCCCAGTGATTATTGAGCTGTTCCCTTGAATGTTGGAGGCCAATTTTCTTTTATCACAGGTCCAGATTGGGACTGTAGGATTTCACCTTTGTGGGACTGAGGCATTAGGTGTCTGAATACGCTAATTATTTGGTACTTTAAAAACCACTGAGTTAATCCATCACTCTGTGCTTGTTTTTCTTTTCTTAATAGTCTTTAGTTAAAATTAATAGAGGATTAATTATGGTGGATTACCTTCAGGTCAGTAATATGAAAGTGCTGTCCCACCAGATTAATGAGGAAGATGAAATAAAAAAAAACTAAATCAGACTTACTCGCCCATGTATCCCTTAGAGGTGGAGTGAAAAGAGGCCAGCTCAACATTGTTATAGTACTCGGGTCCCATCTCATACAGAATCTTTTTGAAAGAATGAAACTGGCATCCTTCAGAGTACACATTGTCCTGGTAAACCTGAACAGTCAGAAGACATTAATGTGCTCTGTTCCCCCAACTAAGGATAAAACACGGCCTTTTAGAGGCAGATCTGGACTGGAGAAACAGTCCTCACACTCAAAACTTCAAAGCTGTTAGAAGACACAAGGCTCTTTGTTAAGTAATAGTTACCGTAATGATACTTTTTATCTGATGTCACCCCACTTAAAGTCTGGGCCTTTGGAGAACAGTGAGCTTCTTTGGATGACTTAACCTTCACTTGTATGTTTAAACTGATTTTCCTTCTGTTTCTTCCATTTGAAGTGCTCTGAGCACCATGTAGGTTTTTAGGTCTGTTCCAGCAAAGTTCTTCCTTGTGTCCCCTACACTTTCTCTCTAGTTCAAACCCAGATCAAGCCACCTGTTATATTGATCCTTTGATAATAAGAATCTTGCATGTCTCTTCATGTCTTAATATGATAAAGAGAATCTGTTCCCTGTACTTAAAAATACCACTACCACACATGGAACAAAATTATACCTCATATGAGTACTCTTAGCAGTGCTTTTGAGAGAAGAGATTATTTCTTTACCTCATCAGCCAGAAGAAAAAGTTTTTCTTCCCAAGCAAAGTGTATCACATCTTCAATGCACTTTCTGTTTTGCACCTGTCCTGTAGTTTGATTTTTAAGCAAGAAGAAAGTTAGTGGAGTGTACACATACAAATCTTTTCACCCACACCTACTTAGATTACCAACTTTTCAAGAAGATATCCCTCTTCTTCAGAAAAGTGCTATTGAACTTTAGAATTCAGTTGACTAAGTATGAAATTAAGGAGCATTTTTGGAAGAATTATGGTACAAGGTAACTTAGTCCATCTCAAGCAAGGACTTATTAAAGAGTACTCTGTGTAATGATAGCTAATCATTGTAAATGCTCCCATGCATGATGGTTAGAAGGGAGCTAGCTTCTCACTAATCAACCTCAACTACACAAAAAGCTAAATTCTGAGGGAGGCTTGCCACTGGGTTCTGAGTTATTACAGTCATTGCCTCTCAGAAGCCAAGAGGCTACAGGCCATGCCAGAGGCAAGATCTTTCCTAAAGACCAAAAGTGACTGAAAGTCATTCCACAGGTCTGGAAAACTTCAGTGGAAGCAGAGGCTTCAAATGGGATCCAGTGAAGTGAATCTGCTCCCTCCTTTCTGGAGTTCCAGGACACTGAAAATGTTTCTAAAAGTAAAGCACACTGTCCTACTTAAAGCAGTGATTTCTGGAATTCAGCTCAATGTATTTGAAATGTACTTAGGATTTGCCTGCAATGTCAAATGAATGAAAAAGGAAAGAAAATGGTCTTAAAACCCCTTCATTAAACAAAATTCCTGCAGACCTGTGGGATTTCCAGGGTTGATGATGCAGAGGACTTTTGGATTGCAATATGCCTTAGCTTCATTCAAGGCACGGCGAAGTTCGTTCACATTTAGAGCCCAGCAATTTTCTTCATCCAAATAGTAGTTCACCTGGATAGCATCCAGTTCAGAGATGGCTGCTGAGTATAAGGGATACTGGGGTATAGGAATCATCACTCCTGTTCGGGATTTGCCACCTCCTGAGATCAGGATCTTTAAAATTGCCTGGGGAAAAAGCAGGAATTAAAAAATAAAAAAAGGTCACACACCAGAATTAATAATATTCTCTGGAATAAGTTATTAAACTTCCTAAAAAAGTGTGGAGTTAAGGTGGATTTCTGTCCTAGAAGCAAATAGTCAAAAAGAGTTTTTTCAAGTTGTTACTGTCTGAGTGAGGATGGTCTAAGCTTAATGGAATCCTCTCATGTCATAACTTCCAAAGATCATGCCTGATCAACTAGAAAATTTAGGAAAAACATTCTGGGCACAAGACTAAAGGGCAAGTTGGAAACTGGAATATCAAGATCATGATTTTTTTGGTGTGCCCTATTGTAAGCAGAGAAGCTTTAGCTAGTTCTTGCTTATTGTTTTTCATTAATTTTATCTCATTAGCCACAAGAGACCAATAAATAAAACTAGAAATTAGAACTGGGGCCTGTGCAGATTCTCCCTTGGAACAGAGAAAGCTGTTTTATATCAGGAGCAATTACGTTTTCATTTTCAAGTAACAGAACAGACCAAAGTCTGCATGTATGGAAATGGGATGGAAATAAAGTCATATGTAGCTTATGCCCAGAAGATACAGGCAGAAAGGTAATGTTTGTGCTAAGGTCAGTCCAGACAATCTCTTGTGCCCAGTGTCTGTGTAATGTGGAGGCTTTTTACGTGTGAATTAAATAAAACAGCACACAAGGGCAGGAAGCAGAGAGATTTCTTGCCTTTATAACCACGGGAGAATTCTGAAGTACAGGTGCAATCAAAGCAAGCATCCTTATCAGCATGTAATTGGCATCTAAATCCAAAAATATCTTTTCTCTCAGCAGCAGTATCCTTTCGTTTCTTTATGGTTCTAGTAACAAATCTGCTGTTCTGTGCCTCTCATCACATACTCAGCTGCTAAGCTAATGATTTATAATCAACATAATTTTGTACCCACCACTAGTTTAAAAATACCAAGCATCCAAAACATATAATCAGGACCAAATGCATATTTAAAAACTCCTTAACACCCTCTCTCCCCTGAGGTGTGAAACAATAGTTATTTTATCTTTAGAAGAGCCAAAGAATGGGACTCGTTGTAGTGCTGGCTTTACATCAGTGGCGAAATCAAATCATCATGGTGCAGATCAGATGTGCTGCGCTGCCATTCCTGACAAGCTGCCAGCGTCAGAAACTCTGGAAAGCCAATTGACTGCAGGCCTCTGGAGAGCTGCCCTGCCAGATCGCTGTCACTCTGAGCTCTGCCACTAGATGTCCTTTAAAAAACCACTTTCACCAACACACTGTCAAAGGCTGCCTTCCTAAGAGCCAAACTGCTGCTGCACTGTCAGTAAATGTGTCTGTGTAAAGCAGCAGACTGACACACACTGGTATTCCCGTCTTAACTGAGGACCATCTTTGAACCTTGGTTGAACCCAAAACCTGAAGTTTTTCTCAAACAAAGTAAAATACACAAAGAGAAATAAATCTTTGGGATTTTCACTGGCATTGATCTGCACTAGCAGAGTTTACTTGGAAGAAGAGCTGAGAGTTCTCACCTCTGAGGTTCACTTCCTCTTCCCTTTTCCACTGACTGATACCCTCTAATCTTCAGTCTTTATGTGTACTTAACCACTGAGAACAACCATTATTTGGTCTGAATGCACTGAATCTTCTAAATTCATATTTAGGCACCTGTGGCTCATTTCATATTACCTCTACAGAAAGGTACAATTGAATGTATACTAAGAGACTTAGCACACACTTCTTAGCTGGCTCCTGACATTCACACATAGGGTTCACTGCTTTGTTCACAGGACTGGATATTCACTGAATGTGGCTTCAATGTCTGCCAGATCAAACTCACAGGACTTTGTGAGACCAGAGGTTCAACAGGGATCTGTATTTGTACCAAGTTTGTACCAAGAAGGGACAGGTTTCATTTTAGCACTTACAGAAATGCCATCACTTGCCCCAGTGGTGAGGTAAATGTTATCTGGATCTGCAGGAACCCCTCCATCTCTTCTTTCAATATATGAAGCCACATCTTCACGAATGCAATTTATACCTTGACTGGCAGTGTAGGATCCTGTGAAAAATACAGAATGAGATGAGAATTGAGTGCAATGTACATCAGATTTTCTGTTACTAGCAAAGCTCATGAGCCAGTATTGTATGGAGTAGTTTCTATATATGAGCCATATTTATTTGGATCCCCAGGATGGGTTTGCTTTTTTTTCCCATGGAGTAGGAAAGGGAGCTAGTTTGTTTGTAGAGTAAAATAATTAACTTGGAAGTAGACAAATACAATAAGCATCTCTAAAATACAAAAATAACATATTGGATTGGTAAAAAGCGTGATTTCAAGCCTATTTTTCAAACTGAGATGGCATTTTTACTATCTTTCAGTTGCTTTCTTTATGTTGGAAGCACTCCTATATGTAAACAAACTCCTATTTAAGTAATGGGAACAAGGAACAGAGGTAGCATGCATAATAGAAAGTAATTTCTTTTAATCCATGATAAATATAAAGGTTTTATTTGCAACATGAAAATAACGTATCATTTTCTCCCACAGTCGGAAACAAAAAAAAATCCTAAACTGCTTCTATCCTTCTCCCACAGCATCTCCCACAACCACTTTTCAGCAGAAATGTCTAGAATCTCTCCAGTATCACATGCAGTTTACAGAGCACAACTAATAACTGTAAATAAAATGAGATGTTAGATGCCTGTGTGCATCACTGCTGAGACTGTGCAACAAACAAAGAGTAAAAATAAGCCTAGGTCAAGGTGAGGAATGAATTCAAGCTATGAAGCTGGAATGGACAAAGAAGTGACAAGTCTACATCTATTTTAGAACACTGTCAGGAAGCTGCAGACTCTTCTTGCTTGTTGGGTGGAGTGGAATAATTATGCCTGACTTAACTCTTATCACTCAGTTATCTGCTAGTAGTCTGCCTGGTAGGACTTCTGTGAAAGCATGATTTAAAAAGACAGAGAGCCTTTGCAAGTACTGCACAATTGCAGGGGACAAAATGGTGATTCAGGGCACAAAGTTCCCTGATGTCCTAAACATTCACTTTTACAGGACTAGAAGTTATACTGGGTCTGTACATGGGTGTTTGACCACAGCTGGGAGGATGTTGTTAAAGGAGAGAACAAACCTAAGCTGCCCTTCTGTCTTGTGCTCCACTGGGTGCTGAGTCCTACCACTCTCAGGACATACAGAACATTTAATTGCACTGTACTTCTACACTTACTTGTACTCAGTTGATGGCTTTGACTAGAACCTGTGTTTGCACTGTGAGATGCAAATAAATAAACCCAAACCAAAAAGCTGTATACAGTATGTATTTTTATATATAGAAGAATGTCTCAAATGCCTGGAAAGATATTCCAGTTACATGCAAAGTAAGTGGTGTCAGCAGAATCCCAGAGTGTCTGGACATAGAGAAGGTGAGGACACATCTGAGACTTCATACACGGCCTGGGAGTAGCAAGACTCAAAACCATGAGTAGGGGTTTGCCAAATGGATGTTCATTGGAAGTGAGGGCATTCTAGTTCACTTCCAGAGGGAATTTCATATTCATATTAACTTCACAATTAATACCTTTAAATAGGCTGGTATAGATAAGGCTGCAACACTTCAATGACTTTGACCATAGGTAGTGATTCCACCTTTGTATTGGATTGACAAATTTGCTGAAAAATAAGGTTTTGAACACAACACAGCGGGGCCAGTTTTTCATCTTTGCTTTTTCACAGGAAAGGCAATTTCTCCTTCTCAGCCATGAAGAGAACAGCAGTAAGTTGTCAGACTACCAACAAAGGGATAGGGGTGACTTCCACTCAGCTGCATGTCCCTGTACCTCTGGCTGTGTGTTTTGGGAGGCTGAGCAGAGGCTGATGAGCTCCAGAGACCAAGAGGAGGGGCTGACACACCATACTGGAGCCAGGGAGGGTGGAGAGGGGGCAGAAACCAGTACAGCACATCAGTAAAGTCTACAGTGGTTTTAGTTGACAGGAATTTAGAGGTATAGTTCTTGGCAGAAATAATTTCAACATTAAAAACATTTAGACTCCAGTTATTTACAGAAGCTCAATTTAGCCTCTGAAATTAACAGTGTGTATTCAGAATTATCACCTTATTTGAATACTGCAATTGTTTAGGCCTACTTCCTCAGAATCTACTGAGCTAACAGAAATTATGGTAAATGTGTGATCTTCTGAAGAAAAGGAACATATTTCTGAAATAGTATGCAAGACTGAATTCTTTACAACATGGAGCTGTGGTGTCCCATGCCACCATGCCCTTAAGGGGAAGGGAGCACCAAGGGGCCAAGACTCCATTCTGAGAATTCCTTCCACATCCCTAAATTTGTCAATCACTACAAAAAAATACTGAGTCAAAATTCAAATGTAACCCCAGTAACTCCTATGTGCCAACAGTACTATGTGGATTTATTGTTCCAAAGTAAGACAGGAAAGGGATCCACTGAGTTAGAGGAACTTCTCAGTTTTAATAATGTGTTTCTAATGGTCTACATTAAAAGAAAAACCAGTACAAAGTAGGTGAAGATAAAATACATTCTGTATCAGGCTGTGTTGTCAAGTTTGAAATACTGCTAATGCAATCACTGTTTATGTTTAATTTTATTGTTTTTGTTTATTTTATTAAGTTTCATAGCACCTACGCTTAAAATATACCAATGAAAACAGGCACTGCAATCACTAAGATTAAGAAATATGCCAATTACTGGAATAAGTCCTCTGAAATGTCACTGTTTGCCTACTTGAAAGAAAGTGTTCCAGATTCTTTGCTGCACCCAGCAGCTGTAGCAGTATCTGCAGAATAGAAATTCTCATGGCACTTGCCAGGTACAGGTAGGCAGCACAGTCACTAGATGAGAAAGAAATTGTCTCTTCCATTTCCTTTCTAATGAATATGCAAAGTTTGTACTTATGTAGATATGACATGTGCACACTTCTAGGAACAGTGGTTGAAGAACAGAGGTCTGTAACTCTTTCAAGAGTTATTTTACTTTGAAGAAATAGAGCCTTGACACTTCAGTTTAAACTATCTCATCAAGGTAAAAGACTTTCAGTAGTGTAGCTTTCCTTTTGCAGAGGATTATTAGCTTGGTACCTGATTTTCTGATACCCCAGAAAACATACTTGAACTGAGGGCTCAAAATTAAGATCCAGGAGTGTGCACTGGATCAGCTGAGATGGACATACATTGTTTGTTGACACCAGCATTACAGGGACAGTGGACTCCCTGGCAGAGAAACAACTGGAGAAGGTAAAACTGTAAAACCCTCCACCCAGTCCTAGCAGGAGACACAGAGCCCTGGATTAAGAGATGTCATACAACAAACAGAGCCTCATTAGTACTCACTGCCACTTTCTTAGTACAAAACCCCCTCAGCATTCCATTTAGAGTTATGCCTAGATGTTATTGTGGCAAGAGCTCCACAGATGTATAACCCTCACCCTCTCCTCTGTGACAAGTCCCACCAAAAATTCACACCATTGGTCACCTGCAGGTCACACTGCAAACCTGCCCCCATCAGCTGCAGATATTGAAACCCCCTTTGCTGTTTCCAACACCAGGACAGAGCCTTACCTAAGCTGTTTCCTCCACAGCCCTGCAAGATCCGCCTGGCACGCTTTTTGGCATCTTCTGGAAAGCTCGGGCTATCCAACAGGTTTGGGTATGTACACAGGGCCACTACCTGCAGTGCCAAGAACATGTCAATTGGCCACTTTGCAGTGGTTATTTTAAGCTGATGGTATTATGTTAACTTCCCATGGAAATGAAGATCACAAGTACTAGCTAATTTAAAACACACATTATTGATGAAGAGTTTGCAGTTGGTTTTTTTAAGTGATGTTCTCACAGAAGAGAAAAAATTATATCAGGTTCCAAGTTAAGCTGACAAAAACAGTTCTAGAGTTATTAACTATTTGTATTACAGACAGTGAAGATTCCAGGTCAGCTAAGCATAGTGCAAACACAGTAACATACAGTTAATTATTCCTGTGTTATCTCTAAGCAGCTCTATCCTCCACTAGCCCACTTTTATTGACAAGAAATCAAGACTTTAAATATGGAGCAGAACTGGGAAATGCAATCAAATTTTGAAGTTGCATGTTCTAATAATCCTTCCCCAAAATAACTTCTAGTTCTTACTGATTTGAATTAATAGGAAATATTTAATTAAAACCAGAAGTGGTCATACAGAACATCGTAAAAGTAGAAACACAACCCATCAGAATTAAGTTAATGAAGGAATGTAAGACACAAATAATTGAGATGTCTCTCTTGAGATTAGCTGAATTTATTCAGTCTCTCTCATTTTTATGCTTAAATTGTGTAATATGGATAGCCTGTTGTCATCTTGTGGGACAATGACAATGAATTAATCCATATGTGCACACAGTCATGGGGAGAAATTATTTCCCATTTTATTTAATATCATTGGAATAATTTGTAATGCATTTGAGTGATTTATAAGAAGTTCAGGTATCCCTAGTTTGCTGCATAGCTTGATTTTACAATCTCATCACCTGGACCCTCAGTTTGATAAGGCTTCAGTTTGTCCTGGAACTCTGATTTTACATTATTATAGACAGAGGAGTTTACATAAGAGTGTGAGGGAGGCTCAGTAAATAAGATAATATTAATTTTAACCTTATTTGTGTTTTAGGAATAATATACAAACGCTAATTCTGTTGTAATCTTTCCTAAAAGTTACCCTACCAATTAACTTGCCCAGAGGTCAAATGTACAAAATGAGACACAGTACAAGTAGTTGAACCCAGCTACGTGCAGATTTCAAAGTATTCTCCCAGATAAAGAAAGGCTTTTGTTTTTTTCTTTAAAGAGAACCACTTCCTTTCTTGAAGAGCATTATTGATAATGAATGTCCTGACTGATAACACAGAAGTGGCAGGAAAAAGTATGGGTGGGGAATGATATGGAAACTACGGAAAGCTACTGTGTTAAAAGAGGACAACAAGCAAACAATAGGACTTTGGCTCAGAAATGAACATTTTAAATTCTTTACAAAAAAACTATTTTAAGTCTAATTGCATTTAGGGAATCAATTATACTAATACCTATATCAGACAGCTTTAAGGCATTCTAATAAAAAATGAATACTAATATTTTATAGTAGTCTTACCTGACGGAGGAAGGTGATTGGTCTCTGTCCCATTGCATGTGCATCTCCAATGTTGGCTTTAATCACTTCAGTAAAAGGTTTCTTGATTCCCTAGAAAGGGATCATTCAGAATGTTTTGTTAGGGTGTAGTAGAAGATTCTTTTTTAGTATCTGTCATGTGGCTGTGTCTGATCTCAGAACTGCTACAGTGTTTAATGTAAAGCTTAATGCATTTCTTATACAATACTGCCAGTAAATCTTAAATGGTTTACAGAAGTTTTGTTGACTGTGACATATTTTTAAATGATAGGTTGGCTTTTATTTTTCTGCTAGCTGCAAGTAGGAGACTGGCTTGGCTGGAAATTACATATTGAAATAGAAAAGATGAAAAAAGGCAGTTTGAATCGTCAATATTAGAGCAACTTCTTTGAGACACCTAAGGGAGGGATGGATCAGTCAAGAAGCTAAAAAGACTTGAGGATATTTGAGAAACCATCAACAAAAGAAACCTCGAGACCTTTAGTTCTTTGAGAGTAAAAATAGTAAAGATACTTATTGCTTATTTATTTTATACTTAGATTAAATATTCCTTGTATGATTACCCCACTTTTCCATGTAGAGATGTTTCACAAAATATATCATAGTGAGGCTCTGCATGATAAACAGAAGTGCTAAATAATCACCATGAATATTTAAAAGCTTCCTAGTCTCCAAAATCTGAACAGACAGCCATTTTTCCTGTGAGAAACTGAATACATCATGAGAACACAGGGAAAGAAGCTAATGAATGTTGATTAGCAATCACATCTCTTTAAAAAGCCAAATAAAATAAGGACATAAAAAAGGCAAGGCATGCCTGATTGAAAAAACCAGCAGTGGTTTAAACAAAAAAGATTAACTGAAAGTAAAGGCCAATATTACAAGAAGAATAAGTGAGAGAAGCAATAATAAATTTAGAGTTGTTCTAATGTATATTTCAGAGATAGTAGGGAGGCATCCTAACAGTGACAGCATTGTCAGATGGACTAAGGAACTGCAAAATCAGACTGATTAGTTTTCTGTAGAAAACTACCCATAGCAACTTGCTCTGGGCATGGACTCAGAAAGCCTCTTCTTAGTCCATGTATTTACAGCCAGTTCCTGGATTTGGATATAGAATTTATAGCTGGCAAGCCTTAACTAACTTCTGCTTTTCCACCATGGACTATTAAATATGTAGTTAGAAATGGCATTAGGACCAGACAATTTGGCTTACATGATCCTGATTCAAAGGGTTAATTTTATATGGCCTTACATTTAGCAGCAATTGAAAAAAAATGTTCACTTAAAATAATTGAAAGTGACACACTGAGTCCATCAAGTCATTTGCTTTTATGTTTGTTGACCTAAGTGAGTCTCCAAATTAAGAGCTGCATTTCAGCTCTGAATAAAAAATTAGAAATAGGGATGCCAGATAGATACTACATTTATCTGAGGCTGAAGTTTAGTAATTTATGAGTAATTCAAAGAGCAAAAAATATGTTCTTTTCAAGCTATCTGGGGTCCACTGACAGCACAACGCTGTTTCATTCTCATTACAAATAAGTAGGAAGAGAAAAGTGTATTCAGAACAAGAACAAATTCAATTTGCTTGAAATGAAGAAAAATTCCCACTTATTTTTGTTACATTTGGTTCTTACAGCAAATTCAATTAGTTTCACTAGATTTGCAAAGTAATACAAATCTGTTAAGGAATATGGATGATACTTTCTTTGCATAAAGTTAGGCAGTCTGAGAACACAGCAACATAAAATAGAAATACTCCGATTTATTAGATTAAACCCAAAACAAACCAACTCCCTAATAATAGAAATACCTTACATTAGACTAATTACATTTTTTGCTCACAAATACTATTTTGTTGTGCAATTTAAAAAAGCTGCTTCTTTGGCTAGTGAAATGCTGAAAGGTACCTGGCATTTCATAATGTACTTATAGAGTTTTTATAGTGGTACAGCCTTTAAAACAAAGGTAACAGACCTTTTTGGTGTCTATGCCACATTTATCATAAATAATGTTGGAGCTTATTAGCACTGATGCCATTTATATCTTTACTAGGGCCAAACTCAGTAGTTTTGCCACCACTGCAAATATAGAATCATCACCTACTCCACAAACTCCCTTTGCTTCTCAAATGATGGATCTGGAACAAATAGCAAACCATACACAATAGTTCTCTCTCCATAAAATCTGGTTAGAGAAGGAATACTACATTTTCTGTGTGGTACACACAGTTCCCACATGGACTTAAAGGCACATGGTTCTCTTGACTAATTTGTAATTCTTGGTCTCAGCTACAAGAGCTTTTGTCTTTTTTGTCTTTCAAAAGAGAAATGCTTTTAAATAACTGGAGCCTTTTCCTTCCCTGACAACGAGCTAATATCAGCTTTAGAACTGTCTTCACAAAACTTGCTATACCCTCTCCTAGTAAAATCTATACAAAAATTGCTATGGCCACTTAGTATTTTTCTATTACTTGATTTCCAGTCTCTCTATGGGAAATAAAGGAGTATCAGAGATTGTTCAGATTTAGTTTAGAATAAAAAGTTCTAAACAGATTCTTAAAAAAAAATCTAAAAAAGTTTTTTAGCACAAAAAGTACCATCTTACCATTTCAAAAAGAAGGAACAAAAAACAACAACAGGCAAGAACAAGTGCCGAATGTTAATGGGTGAAAGTCTCAAAGCAGGGGTATCAGAAGCCAGCATCAAGGGGAGTCTAGACAGTGCCTGAGACTCTGCAGATGGGTCCAAGGCAGAATTCTGCTCAGACCCTTCAGACACAGCAGAATCAGTCACCAGCTACTTGTGTCAAGGTTGCTCCTGTGGTGATGGGTGTGGGTATCCAAGGGGAGGGTTATGCCAAATACTTTTTGGAAGGTCTGTGGAAATATCTGTATGAAAGCAGGAAATGCAAAAGTGATGTTGATAACCTCAATATCAAACTGCAGAGCAGCAGGAAAAGGGCTGCAACAGGTCATCAATTTATTTCACTGCAGAAAGCTAAGCAGTCTTTAACCACGTCAGCAACACACCTGAGCTGAGACAATTTATGTCCCTACAAGCCAAGGAACACACAGGGGGAGCAGGAACTGGGCCACTGGAGTTGTTTTGCTCTCCTGTAGGGATCCCCCAACACTTGCCAGTGTCTCATGGCCTCCCTCTCTCAAGGTGTGCTCCAGCAGGCAAAGCTTTGCAAAAGGGAAGCTTGCATAACAGGAGCTCTAACAAACTCCTAAGCAGGAACTCGTAAGTTCCAGGCTGATTGTCCTGCCTTGTGAAGAGGGTATAAACCACATCAAGGAGGAGAAGAAATGCCCAGCCCTACAAAACAAGCTCTGTTCCAGCCTCCTGCCTCTGGCGGCACCTCACACTGTGCTCACAACATGATTCAGCTTCAGCTCGGAGCAAGGCCAGGCTCCTGCCACTCCTCTGACAGTCTTAGCAAACAGATTCATGATAGTAGCCCTTTTTTAAAACTGTAGAAGCCATCTTTCACTTCCACATGGAAAAGAGCCAATATAAAAACGCACTGTTTTCTAGTAGCCATCTTCTGGATAATTAAGGGATCTTAAAGGAATAAAATAATCTTCCAGGATTTGGAATATGCTCTTTTGAAATTACTTCCTTCAACTGTTACTTCTGTCTCTCTGCTCTTTTTAGAGGAAATGCATCTTTTAACAAACCTGATGAAACCTGAAGCAAGCCAGACACAATTATTTTAACAACTGTATCTAAATATCACACAAAGTTGGGAGAAGGGATTTTTATACATGAACAGGAATTCATTGGCACAAAGTCAACAGAAATCTTTATGCAGTTACCAGGTTTGGGGAAGTTTCCTCTTCCCTAGACATCCCCAGAGCCTCAGGAAACCCATCAGGAAAAGACAACAGTATGAAATGATGGGCTGTTTCTCAAGGAGAGAGTCATGATGCAAGAAGTGTCGGCAGAATTACTTGATCAAAGAAGCAATGTGATGCCAGAACATATCACTCCAAAGAACTACAATAAGGCAATGCCCTGCCAGGAGCTGCTTTGTCTCTTAGGAGTTTTAGTGTACCTGGAGGTTCCATTTACAAAGGTACCAACTGAGAGTGCTGGCAAACTGCAAAATACCACCAGGCCCAGAAAGACTAAAGAAGGGTACAAACTGACCTGACACTGTCTTTGTTAAATCTTCAGCAAATTTCAAAGGAAAACCATCACTCTGGAGAGAGCATGTGTGGATTTGGTAATGGCAATAGGAAAGAATTGAAAAGAGTTCCCTTGAGGAGGCCACAAAAAAATGGGCTGCTTTTATTCCCAGAAGAGAACAGTGGTATTATAACTATTTCTGAATTTCAGAATTTACCGGCTCCTGGCTGCTCCCAGTTGTTTCATTTTCATCGCCACTGCTTTGTGGCTCCTCTTGATGGTTATCAGGCAATAACATCACACTATGAAACACTGTACTATTTCCTTGAGACTGCTTTTGCTGTGACTTGCACAAACAAGCTCTACAATCAGAGCTGGCAAACCCAAACATTTCAGCATAGCTGAGATCTATGCTGTAGTAGCCAAGTTACTTGCTTGCTTTTTTCTCTCCTCCTCTCAAGAGGCCAAGAAAGCACAGCCCAGAGGCCCTTAACTAATAGGGACCTGAAGACTTGAATTAGCATTCCAATCTTTTTATTAAAACAGCTCACAGCAGAAAAATAAACCTGACCTGCTTACCATGGAGTAAGGCTTTGAGTTTGTATTATGCTTGTGTAATTCAAGCTGACATGAGCTGTTTTGGGGAGGAAGGAGAAGGCAAATTCTGGATTTTGACTTAAAACGGCAGTGATGACTTGCATGCCCCCACATATCACATGAGACAATTGGTGGGGCTGACCATTAATTGGCAGATCTGATTCTGAGATTACAGAACAGGACTTGCCCTCAGGTAACTTTTCCCTGACACATTGATCGAAGCGGATTTGCATTCAAAATTTTTGCCATTCAAAATTTATAGATAAACCACTAGATTTCATAACTGAATTAAATGAAAGAATTAAAATAATGTTTCATTAGGAAATGATTAGACATTAAGACCCTCTTAACTTGAAGAGTTATTGGAAAAGGTCTATTTAAGAATAAATTTTGCTAAGGTATTCAACCAGAAAATATCAAAAACTGGATTCTGTGGGTGGTGAGCTTATGAACACATGATTTTGATAATTGTGCTCTTGAAACCAGTTTTCTTTCACCTTCATCTGCAGTAGTTTTTGGCCTCTTAAAAACCATGGGTTTTACTACAGATTCACTTATGTATGCAACATGTACAGACAACTGAGGAACAACAGTTCTGTCTTAATGAGGTCAGATGCTCTTGCCTGGAAGATACTTCCTTCGTGTGCACATAGTCACGTATTCAAAGAATTCAGAATTCAGAAAATTATAGGATGGCAATTTAAGCTTAACATCTTTCATTACTGGGTGTACCAGTCAATCTTGTATCTTTTTCTTGGCATGTTAAATTATATTTCTGCATGTCATTGTCTAAATTGTGCTTTATCTTCCCAAAACTCCCAGGGACACAGTCAACTTGCATTTACAATTAAGGCTGGATTATAAGTCAGATTTTTTCTATTAAATTTAAAAGTCTGATGAATTAGTGAGGGAAAAAAAAATAGCTCTACAGTATTTTAATCAAAATACTTTAGCAGAAGCTGCCTGAGATTTCAGCTACCTAAGTAGAAGGATTTTGGTAGTTTTATTGTCTAAATAACAATGTAGGTAGTGAAGAAGTGGCTTGAATAAACGTGAAACAGGAACCTACTGCAATTGTTATGCAAATAAAAAGCGTGGGCACAGGAGATGAATGTACAACCCTTTCGCTTTAAAGCAAACAGAAAAATAGGGGTTTCAGTGTATAGAAACTGTATAATGCCATTGAAGGCCCATGGCTCCAGGCCCAGGGTTGGGATGTGTTACCCACCTGTGCTATCTGAAGGAACTTCCTACATGATGCCAATATATCCCTGCACACCATCCCTCTCCCCCTTTCCACCCTACAATTCTCTTTCAGTAGTTTGAAAGTTTGGAAGGACCTTGCGTGCCTTACACTGGGCCAGGCCCTGCTTCCAGTGTCACCTGAGCTGACCTGCAGATCCTGAAATGCTGGCTAATATGCACACACTTTGCAAGGAGATGTAAGGCAACTTAACCTACACAGAACTTGGCATTGTGTAAAACCCAATCAGGAACTGGGGAGAAAAGGAGAGTATAAGTGAAATGTCAGAGTAACAGATATAAAGGGATTTCCATAACACGGTCAGTTAAAATTAGCATGAATGCAAAGCAACAAATCAGGTATGTGTCTTACCTGTGTAAAGGTAAGTTAGTTTGTTATTACTGATAAAGTAAAGAGAGGGGCCCTTCTCAGAGCTTGCTTTATTCTTGCATTGAATTTGTATTCAGGAGCAAATTTCTAGTCTGACATGTAATTAAAGTCAATACTTGATACAGTGGCCATTTGTTACCAAGTCTATACAAAGGTGGTAGAAAAAAGGTCTTGTTTCATTGAGGTTCTATTTAGAGTATAATAATTTATTAAAATATGCCTGTGCTCTAGCTTGCTTTAAAAAGTTGCCAGAAACACCAAGGAAAATAGTTGGAATCAGTTATTTCTGTCATCTTAGTAAGTCAGCTGATTGCTACCAATAGCAAATAGGAAAAGAAAGAGGGTTTTCACTTTCCAAGCATGACACGATTTCAAAATTAGGAAAAAAGGGCTCAGGAAAGTAATCCAATCACTGATTTTGCATGAAGATTTCCATCTTGAAAGACTTAATGTAGATCAAACCCCTGATTTTCCACCTAGATGAATATAGGACACAAGCCAACAAAACTTGTGAAATCCAGGTACAGCATGCCCCACCTGTATTGGGCAATCAATCTTAATCTGCTTTAATTTAGTATTTTACTTGTCATTTACATTGGCTTAGTCCCAGGCATGAGAGCTAAAACTAATGCCTCATTTTTATTTGTTCTTTTAAGGAATATCCCTTCAGTTGTGCAGTCAGAGACTTCTTGAGTGACATTTTAGTCCTTATTTCTATGTGCACTGTGGAGTTACAGCTCCTGTTGGGATCACTTGCAGTTAATATAGAGAAGCAGCAAGTGCCAGAGAGAATAACAGAGGAGCTGCTCTTTGGGACCTGAGACAGCAGAACAAACCTCAAGGAAGATGAAAGCTTACACTGTGCAAACAGCTTCAAGTAGCTGTTTTGTAGTCTCCATAACAGCTGTATGAGTATTAAAAAGTATGAAGAGTATCCAAATGGAACCAAGTTGAAACAGGGAGAGCCTTTATCACATCTGATTAGACATTTGGCTGCATTTAGGGTGCTTTTAGTTGAGAAACAAATTACCTAAAGGCATCTGAGCAGAACAGGATAAATGCAGATTTACTGCCATTGCTTCACCCCTGCCTGTTCTTGTTACCCCCAGCCACTGCAGTGCTTCTATCTCATACCAGGGAGCTTGTGCTCTCCTGCCTATGCAAAGCTCCTTCCCCATCAGATGTAGAAGAGTTGTTACGGGGCAATTTTTGCTGTTAGTGAAGAGTGGCCATGGATCTAGAGATGTGGGGCATCTCCTTCCTCTTCCCTGAAGTGGCAACCACTTCAGCCTCTTCCCTTTATCCAGCAGTGTTAATTCTGCTGGCAGTGTTTGGCCTAACCCTGTGAGCTAAGGTTGAGAGGGATGGAAAAAACTTTACAACTTTATAAAAAGGAAACAAAGAAGTGCCATTGATGTCTGAGCACACAAACTCAAACAAATTTCAGACACGCACACGCAAAAAATAGACAATTAGATAACCTACAATACTTTACTTACAAGGAAACCAGGTATTACTCAACACTGTGTGCTTTAGCAGACAGCTTGATTAAACAAGAGAATGAATAACAGTCTTTTTCTCAGAAAAGCAAAGAGGAATGAGTAACTTGAGATGTGTACAAGCAAGTAAAGGATTTCTACAGAAGTTGATTACTGTTGTCTGTAGATACACTGTCTCAACTTTTGCAGTAATTTCGTCCTCTTTCCCTGCCAGCTGGGAGGTTTGTTTGCCTTGGTTGTGTTAAAGCAAAGTCACCTCTAGGAATGCTGGTAGCCATTATCAATGGCAAACATTATTTCATGAGACTGGTCCCAGGAAAAAAAAAATTTAAATGGAAAATGCCACATAAGTAGGCACAACACAAAACTGACATAAAAATCTTTTAATAAGCAATTTCCAATGATTTGCTGTTATATTTTTTTAAAAATGCACAGTAGATTATTCTTTCTGCCAGTGATTTAGCTGGTAACCGGAGTAAGCAGAGAAGCTGGGAGGAGTTTGTGAAAGGCCTTTTATATTTGTTTTGTGAAGTAATATCTCCTGCTCTGCGATGTTAACTTGAAAACAAACATACTCAGTGAGAACATTGGAAGATTTTATACTCTGGAAAATGCATCCACTAGGGAACCTAGTTGCATAAACACAGTGACACCTTTATAAACAAGTTTTAAGGCAAAAAATCAAAACAGATGTTCCAAAATTAATTCCCCATCACTACTCTGAAGTTTTAATTTGAAATTCTAAAAAAAAAAAAAAAAAGTAATGATATGTTTGTATGTCTGAGTTAGACATAAATAGCTGATGCATATACTACAGTGAGCTGAAAACATGCTAAGACAAGGGGAACCAGGTAACATTAAGACTGAAGAATTAATCTCATGGTTAGAATTGCTCTAGCATGTTTTTGTTCAAAGCACTTTACATGAACTAATGAAAATGGTCTTGCAGTACCTGCAATAAGGTATTAGAAAGACTCTCTAAGGCAGTGACAGAAGGGAATAATGTCTAAAATTATAGAAAAACTACTCTGCCAGATGCTTTATTCAAAACAAAAATGAGTCCCTGTCATGAGAGGGGAAGCTGTGGATTGAACAGGAGAGGCAAAAAGCCTGCTAAAGGGTTTTTTTAATTTTTTTTTCCAATACTCAAGGAATAAGAAAGACATATAAAGAAGAAAATATAAGCACTGTCTGATTTGGATGCTTTATTTAGCACATACTGGCCCAGACCCTTAGGATCTGCTTTATTTTCTGATCCACCAGCGAGTACCAACCATCTACAACTTTGGGCAGCGTTACGGAGTGCTTGTGCTCTAAAGGTTTGTCCTCAGGCACTTTCTGCAACTAAAAAAAAGGAGCACATTATGGGTGATCTCCTTGGACGACCCAGAGCAGCGCTGGGTGAGGCTGCAGAGCAGCACCTGGGAGAGCCGGGCCAGCTCACCTGTCAGGAGCCCGGCGCCTCCTGCCCCGGCCAAGGCAGTCTCTAAAATCCTCATGAACGACTTAAAGGCTCTATCAGTATGATGAAAGCTGGTCACGCACCCCCTTGTATAACACAAAGCACACGGGATTGCAGCAAGGGGTCAAAGTGGCGGGAGAAATGTAAACACTGCTTTATGGGGTGTCCCATATCTGCCTCGGGCAGCCAGTGACACCAGACAAACAGCAGCCGGCCGGCGGGTTCCTTTGTTTGTGCCTCCCCGCCTCCCGTGGGAAGGGGCGCGGGGCCAGGGGCGCCGCAGCGGAGCGGAGCGGGGCCGGGGCCGGGAGCGGGGCCGGGGCCGGGGCCGGGGCCGGGCCGGGGCCGGGGCCGGGCAGGGGATGAGGCGCAGAGCGCGTCCGGCCACGGCTCGGGGCAGCAGAGGGATGGGAAAACGCTGCCGTGCTCCGAGAGTTTTCAACTTGGTAGGAGGCACTGCAGCGGCACTCGTGGTGCCTCCCGCTTTCCCGAGGCTTCCACAGGGTCACGTCTCAGCCCCGCGGGATGTCGCGTCCCCGCCGAGCCCCGCGACATCCCCAGCCGGGAGCGGCGGCGGAGCAGCGCCCGGGGCAGAGCCGGTGCGGCTCGGGGAGCGCGCCCTGCCCTGTCCTGCCCCGCCCCGCCGCCCCTGCCTCACCTTCCGCAGCTCCTTCTCGATCTCCCCGGCTTTCAGAACGATGGGGCCGCGCACCGCGTATTCCACCGCCTTCACCTGCGGGTTCATGGACTCCAGCGTCAGGATCTTCTCCCTGCTCGCCTTCTCGTTGATCTTCACGGCGGAGGCCTTGGCAGCGCTGCTCCAGCGCACCGACCCCTCCCGCCGGGGACCCCGCGGCTGCCGCCCGGCCGGCAGCGAAGCGGCGCCGCGCAGAGCCACGTCCGTCCCTCCGCCCCGGCTGCAGCCCCCCGGCCCGCGGCCGCACTGCCCTGCCGCAGCCTGCCTGGCAGCCAAGACAAACCGATGCATGGTCGTTCGGGTAGCTCCCAAAACCAGATGAAGGACACAAGCGCTGGGGATCGGTGTATTTAGTAGTCGGAATCGGGCGCTAGTCAGATGCACGCGAGCAGGAGGTGCGGTCAGGAGAAATGCCGAAGAGCTGGCACAGTCACACGTACACGCTGGATCCTCTCATGTCCAGATCCCGCAAACTTAACTGCAATGGATACAACTGATCTTGCAGTGTTGCGATGCCACCACAGGAGCAGAAACAGAAATAGAAACCACCATTGCATCCGAATAGCGCTGCAGCCCCCTGCCCCGACAGAAGTGCCCGCGCTAGTGCTCTGGAAGAGTCCCGGGCAAACCCATCCTTTTCCCAGCCGGCGCTGGCCCCGGCCCCGGGGCGTGCTAAGGTGTGATTGCACCAGCCGGGCTGCGGGCGCGCTGCCTGGCGGGGGCTGTAGTCCCGGATGCGCCTGCCCACGGCATCGGGTGATGGGCAGAGAACTACCGCACCCAGAGGCCTCCCCGGGCCGCTCCCGCATTGTCTGCAGGGCGGGGCACGCTCCCGCTGCTGGGGATGCGGGGGCAACCGGGGTCAGGGCACGTCCTGGGGATTTTCCTAAGGGAATGGCAAAGCCAAGCGTCCTCGGTGCTAGGGAGCGCTTGGCTGCCGCTCGGAGCTCGCGGTGCCGCCGCCTGGCCGCGCACAGAGCGCTCCCTTTGTCTGGGTGTGCTGCTCTGGCGGGGTGTGAGCAGCGCGGCGGTGCCCACGCCGGCTCTCCGCTGTCCGGGGGGAAAAGGCGGCCTGAGCTGGGCTCGCAGCCCCGCGTGGGCTGGGAGTGCGCCCTGGGCTCTGCGCTGGCCCCGTACCTGTTGCGGGGCTGCTGGAGAGCGGCTCTGGAGTCGGGCAGGCAGCGAGGCTGAAGGAGCGCCAGAGCCCCGTCCCTCACCCTGTCACTCTGCCAGGGGAGCATTTGCTCCTGATCCTTGCCTCCCGCAGGAACAAGCCGGTCCTCTTTCACAGTTTCCTCATTGTTTCCAGATGATGAAAATATTTTTATCTCCCGGGCTCAGTTCAGCTTTCACAGCAAATGACTGGAGGTCTGCCATGAAATACAACAGCAGCAGAATTCAGGAGAGAGGGGGTAAATGCTCTCTCCTTGCTGCCCCTGGGGAGAAGAAGGCCCTTTTAACCCATCCTGGGTGCCCAGAAGAGCCTCCTTTTTTGTGCTCAGAGAGTGGAATAAGGGATCATTCACCCAGGAATATTCCTATGACCTAATGTTACCTCTCTGAGTAGGAGCCTGGGCTGTAAATCAGCCTTATTTGTGAATTGTTTTTGTAGAACCTTCTTTTAGTTTCTCTTTTGCACTCAGAATATGGCAAACCAGCTTCCTAATTTTAGATGCCTAAATTAGATGGTTTGAGACTTGGGTTCTGTTCTGTTTTGGTGTTTTCCTCAGCTGATGAAAAGCAAGGAAGCTGCTTTTGGTGTGTCTGATTTTATTTAATGACATACAATTATGTCTTTAGCCTTCTTTCTATCTTTACTATTCCTTCTTTCTAACAAGCATCTGCTTGCCGTAGTGTTTAGTTCCACGAGTAATTTGCTCCAGTCCTTATTCTAAGTGCAATATTTTTCAGCACTTGCTTTGTGCTAATTTAAAAATAATTGCTGCTTGAGGATTTTAGTCAATTCATAGTTAACAAACTAACAGAGATGGAATTTTTTTTTTCTGCTGAAGGAACATTCTTGAGGTGGTGCAGAAAACTCATTTGTTTTTTGTTTCCAGTCATTGTACTGATTTTACTAAGAGCTTTTTGTTGTTTACTGTTCAGTTTGTGAAGGCCATGTTGAGTGTTTCTGGCCCTGCTTGTCCTCCCTCCAAAATTCTGCCCACAGAATGACCCAATGGAGTGCTCTGTTGGAAATTCAAGTTCCAAGAAGTCCATTTTTGTTTACTTGAATCCACTGCAGCTGTTCCAGGATATCACATCTGATTTTTTCCCATATTTTAAGCCTTTTTAACTTTTGAAATGTCATGTTTTGGAGCCTGTACATTTTGACACTTTACTTTTAAAGTTGTCATCAGTCATGTATCTGGAAAGCCGAGTACTCTCTCAGTCTGGCAGTTCGCTAATTAACAGTGTCATGGTCCCTTTTTTTAGGTTTGATAAAAAGTGTTTCAGAAGAAAATTTTTCAAGCTGTGGTAAGACATGTCAAGGTTGGATTTATCACAAAACCATATTGGATTTTATAGTAAGCTTTTATCAGATGACCTGAAATGTTCCAATTATTTAAAATTCTAATAATTACATTCAGTTGATACAAGTAGACTTCCCAGGTATCTTAATTCAAGTGTATTTCATGGTTCCTTAGAACTCAAGGTTGAAATGCTACGCAGACTATTAAAAATCAGTTTGGATTGTAATTTGGAAACACTAATTTTGCTGTGGGAAGAGCACAAGTTAACCTTTGCTCATGGTTCACATGCTGCTGTTCCACCCCCAATCCACCCCCCAGAAAGAGTTGGCCAGCAGAAAGTGTCCAGCAGCACTGCCCCCGAGGTCCCATTGATCCCCCACAAGTAAAGGCACAGATCCCCTGACATCTCTGTCCCTGCACTGGTGACAATCCAAGCAACCCTGAGACCTTGCTTGCAGATTCGGTAAAGCTGCTGGTGAGTGTGTAACACAGAGCAGCCTTGGATTGAGGCTCAACACCTGCAAATGCACTTGGCACCAGCCAAAATGGTTTTAGTAGAACATTGGAATAAATATATGCAAAATTGGAATTCAATAGTCTGGGTAATTTCTTAGAAATGCACACAGGAAATAAATGGGATGAAACAAAGCCTTTCCATTGTAAATGCAGCATTAAGTGGTTTTAGACAAAAGTATCTCTCTCTTTAGACGTGGTAAATGTATCTCCAAAGGTTACTTTAATACAGATGCTTTCCTGAAAGTAAATAGTGTAGGATGAACTTGCAATGTTGAGGCAAAGTTGTTCCTAAATGAATGTGCAAATCATATGAACACAGGTTTCAGACAAAGCAGATATTGACGTGGACAGTGCTGCTTACCAAGGTTCTTTGATGCCCATGTTGTGTTCCACCTCTAGTCATAAAGAAACAAGTTGCTTTTCTTGCAGTTATGAGAAGCTAAAATAATGAATTTCATGTTGATGGTTCCAAGCTAGAGATACAGAACAGCAGCAAATGCATAAATACATGGAAAAGGAGATGGAGACTTGGAGAAATAAGGGCTATAAACAGAATAACAGCTGCTGTCACATTTCCATTCTGTTTCCATTCTGACAGACCTTCAACAAGCTGCTTTGCCATGAATAGTTGCATGGTTTAAACCCCATGATTACAATAATGACACGTGGTAACTGAGCATTCATTCTGCTGCTGCTGTTTCATTGAAAGAAAGACTCTGGATAGAAAACTGCTCTCAGTAGCTTAAAATGCCAAAGTGGTTTTAATGATATTTGGGAATCTTTGAGCACACTAAGTAAATGGAAACCACATTAGGAAAACTAGGTTTGTGTTGTACAAGTAAGAAGGTTGTTTTTTTGTTTTTTTTTTTTTTTTTTACTGTGGACTACTGCTCATGGTAGCAGTTCAGAATATAAGGAGCATCTTCAGACAAATGACTGTTTCTACTGTTCTCCAAACTAAACAAAAACTTTAAGATTTGGTGTAAAGTTCAGTGCAATCCACTGCAAAAATTAAGTGACTTCATACCTTAATGTTTAACAACTCATTATCTCATGATAAAGAGGAAAAAAAAAAAAAAAGCCCAACCTCCTACCCAAAAACCAAAGTCACATGGAATGTGTAAATTAATCTATTGAATTCTCTTCATAAGAACTAATTGAAAAGATGCTCTATGAAAATAATGTAAGCTTTTGGTGAAACTATATTCATTGGTAGAAACCAAACTGTTCTGAATGCCATGTGGATTTTTATAAAGTTTCCCACAAAAAAGGCCTAATATGTGAGAATAAAATGTTGGAAGCCTTTTCTAAGGGAATAGTATGTGCTACTGTTATTAGATAGTTTAAAGTATTGATATTTTAATAAAAGCTTCTTTTTAAAATCTGAGGCTGTGGCCTTTTTTTCTCAGGCAAGCATTAATGTGCTCAGCTGAGCCAGAGGCAGGAGCCAGCCTAAGTCTGGACTTCCTGAAACCAAGAGGCATCAATGCTTAACAACATTGTGAATTGAAAAATGCTTTGTAATTGGGAAATACTCAATATTTAGCTATACTTGGAGAACAAAGCCAACATTTTTGCCAATTAAATGTTGGTCTTGCCCAAATTCAGAGTAATGGGATCTCAAAGGACTTGTTAGGCACAACTCTGCCTATGAAAGGACTCAGAGGAGACTCAGATCATAGCTATCCTGAAATCTACTGGTGATACAGTAACATTATTAAGTACTATAAACTATTGTTATTATTGAAATTACCAAAATCAGAATAAGAAAATAGGATTGAAGCTTGTCTGTATAATCAGTGAATTTTTTTATACAGTACTTTCTTCTTGCCAGTTGAATACTGTCCCATTACAACTTCAATTCTTTCATGGTAACATTGCAAATATTATAATTTAACTCTTCCTGTTATTTGTAATTTTGCTCTCATGCATCCTAATGTTGTATTTTAGCTATAACTTAAGAATTCTCTAGATAGTACTTTGGCTGTGGAAAGAACAAAACCCCTGCTGACCATAGCTGACTAATTAGAAGTTGTTACTTAACCAGGATGTGTTTTATAACCTTTTTCACACAAGGTTGCACAGCACTTTAGGAATTTAATTTCTCAATTTGCTGTGTTTTGTCAGCATATTGGGGCTGACAGAGCCCAAGGCTGTCAACTCTCCTAGGTGACACTGCAGGAGAGTAGGATGCTTCCAAATTGCCTGGAGTGCTGAGCAGAAATACAACTCAGGAGTGCTTCCCTCTCCCACTCTAAGGTAGATTGGATGTGTGAATTGCTCCTACTTTGGATTTGTTTTTTCCTTTCACCCCAAAATACTGCCATGTGCAGGCAGCTGATGTGCCAGGCAGTGGAAACCTCTCAGGCTATTCAGCTCAGCTGGAGTTTCTGGTGACAACAGCAAAGAAAAGGAGCTATCAGGCATTTAAAAAGTCATGTGTAGCTTTTCATAAGATAAGAGACATTGCATAATTTTCTTATTTTCTATTTTAAATTGGTGTAAAACACATTTTAAGTGAGGCTTGGTCTTGCAAAGTGCCTCGACTCTGTAAAGAGAGAATGTAGCTGTACCCTTAAAACTATATTTGTTGTTTTTATCTCAGTGCTGGATTAAGCCT